CCCGTCTTGCCTTGTCCCCCCCCCCCCGCTGCAGTGCGAAGGGGGTTCGGCGTTCCGGGAACGCCGGACCCCCTTCGTGCTATGCCCATCGTCGGATCGGATCTCGGACCCCCGTCCTCCCCCGCGCCACAAAGGGTGTCCGACGTTCCCGTCCTCCCCCGCCGCACATAGGGGGTCCGAACGCCGGACCCCGTTTGTGCTGTGGCCATCGAGGGTTGCGGACAGACCCACTTCTTCCCCCGCAGCTCAAAGGGGGTCCGACGTTCCCGGAACACCGGATCCCCTTGGTGCTGTTGCCAGCGACGGGGAGGGAGGGGGGCCCTTACTCTCTGGCAGCACCGACATGGGTCCGGCGTTCCGGGAACGCCGGACCCCCCTCGGTGCTGCTACAGGGAGGGGGAGGGACGGACATAAAATGCCGCGGGGTTCCGTCGAGGACGCGGGCGAGGGAGGGGTCCGGCCGACTACCGTGCCGACAGGCACGCTGGTGGGGTCTGCTATTTAGGGGACGCCAGACCCACATACGCGACGGTCGTGGAACGCCGAACGTCTAGGGAACGAGAGTCGGGGAGTCGGGCGTCTAGGGAACACCGGACCCCTTTTCAGATTGGGTGGGGGGTCGGGCGTTCTGGGAACAAATGACCCCCTTTCATAAATGCCCCGAGGGGAGCGGGCGTTCTGGGAACGCCGGACCCCCTTTCAGAAACGAGGGTCGGGGGGGCGGGCGTCTAGGGAACGCTGGACCCCTTTCCAGAAACGAGGGTCGACTCCACATGCGAAGCGCTTCTGTTTGTTCCTCATTTGTTCTTTGCTTGTGCGTTTCCTTTGTTTGTGCCCTCTAGGTCAACCTGCTGCTTTGTCCTCTCGGGCATATGGCAGGTCAAAAATCTACAACAACAAACCATGGGCTCTAAACTGGGTTGGTGGTCTGCATAGGCCTGGGTGAGGGGCCGTCGTCTTCTTGAGCGACGACAATGGTGCGACGTGGTACTGCTGTGGGGGTGTTGAGAAATCTGAGAGCGCCAGGAATACCTACGATGGGAGGTCGTTCAAGACCTTCTTTCTTACGTCAGTTGTCGACAAGGATGGCACAAATTGGGTCAAGGAAGACAAGAAGGTCGGCCTTGACTTGCGGCTCTTTCAAGGCTACAACGTCAAGGCTTTCTCCATGAAAGTGTTTGACGTGCGAGGGGACGGCACCGAGCTTCGCATGCTGACTGCGAAACAGTTCCTCAGTAGAATGAATGGCTACCGCGTCACTGACTGCCTTCCTGTCGTTGAAAGGTGCTTGGAGCTCACCAAACCCTTGGTGAAATTCAGCAGCCCGGCGGACCAACTGCCAGGCGTTGTTAAGGAGTACACGGAAGCCTTCTCGAGGCTGCCTCTGGACCAGCAAGCCGACTGCGCTTTCGTGCCCTTTGTCACGAGCTCGAGGAAATCGCGACAGACGCCATCCGCGCCGGTTGGGAAGAGGAAACAGTTGGCTGCTTGTCAAGCTCCGCCTTTGCCAGCCGCGTCGCCCTCGCCCTTGCCCTCGATGAGGGGAGGTCACGATATCGCTCAATGTTCCAGCGAGGCTACGGAGTACGATGACAGAAATCTGTACGGACGCAAAGCTCCGCGTGACAGTGCTCGGGAAGGTGCGACTGCCCTCACTGAGCGAAACGAGGAGGAAGAAGATGGGGAAGCTGCGGTCCCGGGCCACGTGAAGACGACGGTGATGACGAGTATATGGACGTTGGGGATGAGAACATGCAGGACCAAAACATGCTTAGCGATGATGACGTCGGTGTCACGTCGAAGCATGGCCATGGTGACATCCCCACCGGTTTTGTGGGAGCGGCTGTTGGTCGGCCCTTGTCATCCCCTGTGATATGGCATTCGCAAGACGGGAGTCAGGGTGGACATGACTCGCAGGAGCACAGAGGATCAAAGTCGAGGAAAAGGACAAGAGAAACTTCTCCTTCTGCTTTCGCTCACAAGAGACAAGCGAGGACTAACGCTGTTAATGAGGCTCGTTGAGCTCTGGTGGCATCCCAGGAGGCGAGACCTCCTCGGAAGAGCAGCCAGGGGGGAAGATCTGGCGGTCGTGGCGGCGGCCGTGGTGACGCAAGAAAAGGTAAGCAGATAGTGAGGGCAGAAGAACTGCGGGACTCAGGGGATGAGGGCGAGGGAGTGGGCCCTCGCATGCACGATGATGGTGATGAACCGCTTCAGCACGCTGCGCCCATCGACACGACGCATTGTTTCTTCCTTGAGTACGACGAGCAGGGTCTTGCTAAGCAAAAAGTCATTCCTGTTCTTGTGGACGTCATGAAAATCAAACGCATTCCCCGCGGGAAGATTCTTTTCAACCACCGCTCTTTGTCTGCGAACATTGCGTGAGGCATCGTGAATGCCATCGAAAGTTCCATCACCACGGAACCGGGGGCGTGGGATAGGCCTGACTTGTGCTTACGCAGGTTGACCGCAACGACATCGTTGGCGGGCAGGGTAGGCGGATAACACTGACCAAATTCTTCGAAAGAGACTCCTCGGAGTTCGATTAGTATGTTGTCTGTGGTCAGCATACGGTCGAGGCCATGAAGACATTGGTCAAAAAGAGCTCTCCGACAGTCGACGTCTACGGCCTTCGCGCGTACTCTAAGGTGCGGGTAATCTATTTTGGAGATGACCAGACGCGAGGGTATTTCAATGTCTCCGCCTTCGACAACACGCGTGAAAATCGGGCCATGATGTTGTCCGTCGAGGATGCTGTCCGTGATATGAGGCAATGGTGGATCGATAACCATCGAATCGAGGCCCCGAAAGGCAAGGTCAGCAATAAGGATGCGGTCGCCGTTGCGCACCAAAAGAAGTGGCAAAATTTCTTAAGGGCCTCCATGGGGAAGGCATGCGACAAGGCGTTCGTGAAGCAAACGCTCGAGAATGAGTACAGTAAAGATTGGAGCAATAAACTCCGTGGCTAAATGAACCTCACATCCACCGAGGCTGTGTGGCCACTAGTCGAGAAGTTCTTTGAGATGTTCAACGAGGGGAAGCTGTCAGTTCGCGATGGTAAAATACCGCTCGATATGCCGGGTAGGATGGAGGGGCGCCAACCAGGCTCGTACACCGACGAGACGAAGGGGCAAAGAACATTATACTATTGCATATACGCGAGAGATAGTCCCATAGGCTCCTCTGTGTCGTGGAAGGATCTCTGTCCTTCCCACTTCAAAAATTTTAGGGATTTGAAGTGCCGCGAGAGGGAAGTTGCACTGCTCCTCATGAAAGGGAAGGTGGTCGTGACGAACGTCAAGGTCATGCCTCGGAGAGTGAATACGGAGTGCCTCCTCGACATCATGCGCAAGGAACGATACATGGTCCGTATGTTCAACTACGTTGTTTTTCGCGCTGAGGGAAGGGCGGATGATGAGTGGAATGATGCCTTCTTCATGTCATACAAGGACCTCGAAGACAGGTATGGGCCGAACGGTCTGTATGCAGCTGAATGGGAGAAGGAACGAGACAAGTTGCATGTCAGCAAAGTGAAGACGGTCCCTCGACGGCTTGGAGGGGTGGAGGAGGCAAGGCAAGGATCAGGCTTGGGCCCTATGGCGGCAATGTATAAGGAGGCTCCGTTCCACTTTAAGTTGTTTGTATACACCTCAATCAATAAGCTCGATCTGCTTCGGGCGGAGGTCAAACAGGTCGCCTCCAGCGCACGTCATATCGTGTGGGATAAACTTAAAAAACAAACAACATTGCTACCGGTGTGCATGCCATTGAAGGAAGTGCTGGCTGCGCCAGACGACATCGTCGCTGCGGCGCAAAAAATGACCTGCAGGGCCGTCATCCTTAACATCTCCCCGCTAACTTCTGCACGACATGGACCTCTCAAGAGTTCAACGCTCTGCACTCTATGATGACTAAGTGTTGTGGCGTTAATTGGGTTCTTTTTGTCTTCGCACCGCAGAAGGTGCGAAGTGATGTTATGCGTTGCTTATTCCAGTGGGAGGACATTGAACTCATCCTCGGGACCTGGAAACGGGTGGATAGGCCATCGAATGACATCACGAGGTATGGCAATATCGCTACGACGAGTCGAGACATGATGGCCATTGTCCTGCACGCGGAGGGAGGGGATCTCAGAAAGGTCACGGTCGCACTCCGCCTTGTCAATGACCTCACAAACGTGCATGTTGTGGAGGACAAGTTCGGGAAGTGTTTGGGGAAACACGGTGGCATAGAGGGCGATGAAAGTGTGGTGTATTCCATCTGGGAGTGAGAGCCTGGCAAGTTGCGTTCGTTGTGCGGGTCATTCGTCGGGGAGGCGGAAGGTGTGCTTTTATTGGGTAGGGCGCACGAGGGTCTTGTGTGGGAATTCTTACTGGCAAAGAATAATGTCATTGCCTGTGACGAGTCAGCAAAGGACATTGCATACTTGACAAAGTTCATCGATATACCTATCAAGGACGACAGATTCAACTGCCACGTCGAGAAACCGCGTTGCAAACATCGCCCGAACAGGGACATGTTCCACAAGTTGGGGCCTAAGAGACTGAAGGTGTGGGAGTACCTGTTCTGCGATATGCCACAAGGACGGCTTGACGGGAAATATATATACAGGAAAGCAAAGGCAACAGAGACCCTCAAATATTATCACGGTGCTCTCACTAGCGCCTTTGAGACAATTGTTGCTCGATGCGAGATCCACAAGTTCGATCTTCGCAAAGACCAATTGACGTCCAAGGACTACGCGGAGCTCGCGAAATCGGGCGATGGCTTTAACCCCGTCGAGAGCGAGGAAGATTCTTCGGACTCTGACCTCGAACTGGGCGAGGACACATGTGCTAAGGTTCCGCGCGGAGGAATGGTGCAAGCTCATGATGACGGAACTGTCCATTCGCACGAAGGGCCCATCCCAGTGGTCGCCCCAAGCGTCGCCTCAATGGTGGCCCCGTCGGAGACTGCTGCATTGCAAGACAATGGAAGATGCAGTGGCAATGAAGAAGACGATATTGAGATACCAGGCGAGGCGTCGACGCTCGCACCAGGTGATGCAATTCCTCCAGGCTACTGTGCTGACCCGAACACGATTTATTTCTTGGAGGGCAAACACACCCACACAGGCGAGGATCAATGGGGCCATGACATCATATGGCATGAGGGCGTTTTACAGCCGTGCATCCAAGATGGAGAGTGGAAGATGGCGGTGAAATACACAAGCGGTTGGAAGACTTTTCGCCGGATGTCAAAGGACATCTGGTTGAAAACGACGGAGCTCGCGATCCTACATCGCGTGTGCGTCGAGAATCCAGGGCAAAGCGAGGCCGCGATCAAAGCCAAGGCTGAAGAATTGTTTAATGTCTTGCGCGACAATCGGTAACTGGAGTACAACAACAAATTTTATGCCCTGCGCTCGAGTCCCTCACGCGGGTCAACCAACTCGAAGGTTGATCAAACCGCCAGAACCTTAGAGGGGAGCTGCTCTCATGATTTCATGCCTTCGGCTGAGCCGGCCTTTGTGGCCGTGCAAGCAGGGCACAGGGGAGATGACGGGACTACTGTTGTCGGGCCTCAAGAGGTTGACATGACGTCAATGCCGCAAATATCAAAAAAATCCATCTCGGTCGTCGCGGCACAATCATCCCCGCCCATCGAGGTGTCAACGACGTTGCCGCCGGATGCAGGTGCCACGTACGGAAGTTTATTGATAAAAAATGCTGCAATGCAAGGCAGATCCGAGATCGAGTCAGAATCTGATGCTGAGCCGAGCGTGGCGGAGAGTCAATTGCAACCGTCTTTATGCATTGGCAAAGGTGATGCACAATCATCGCTCACACCACAAGGAGGGGCCGGTGGGGATGGCGGGAAGGGAGGGGATGTGGACGGAATGCACCGTTCTCGCAACCTCGACACCTTAACCGCTGATATTGATTAAAAGGGTGAGGATGAGTTAGGCGGGAGGGGTGCAATTGGAGGGGGAAAATCCAGTGATATAATTACAACTTCACCTCTGCCTTGTTGAACGAAATTGTGTACTTGACTTGGTTCGTTGTTTTATTTAAAACAGAATTCGTATTAGTCTCTGTAGGCACCAATTCTGCATCGTTTCTCCATTTATGTATATATATATTTTTCACCTCAAATTGTTAATAGACCTGAGATGTTTAGATTGACTGTCCGTCTCGACGTTCAGTAACAAATCGTGGTGGGAGCGTATGTGTGGTATTCTACATCTCTCTCTCTCTCTCTATATATATCTATCTATCTATCTATCTATCTATCTATCTATCTATCTATCTATCTATCTATCTATCTATCTATCTATCTCTAGTTGCGACATGGACGTGTGTTTAGGGTGGTCGATCGATGCGAGGAATGAATGACTGCATATGTGAATGACGTTCGTACAAGTAAAATATTAGAGAAATAATGAAAACATGCCTTGCATGCATCAGCTCTCACAAAGCGTTTGGCCATGCACTCACAATACTTGCCCCGTCCCCGCGTGAATGTCCTCTTCCTCATCGTCTGTGGTGTGCGGTACAAATGACAACAACGAATACAAGATTGTGCAAAAGAGGATAGACAATGCATCTCGCAACTTCGTCTTTATCGGAGAGGGAGATGGCAGCACTAGCGCATATCATTCGCGCATACGAGAATAGGGACCCCGATGTCAGCACACAAGATGCGCACAATAGCGAAGTGTTGCAACTCACTCGCAGCGATTTCCTTTTACTCGCCGTCAAACAACAGTGGTTAAACGACAACGTGATCAACTTTTATCTCAACCTCGTAGCCTTAAACAACTGTTGTAGACCCCGGGGCAAAGCAGTTGCGCCTCCTTCATCAAGGCCTACAACCAGATTCAGATAGTGGGCCGATTTCACTTTGGCATTTTCGACCACTATACCCAGCGTGCATTGTCGGCCTCACATTCGAGTGCCCCGGGCCTAACTAACTCAGAGGCCCTGCGCATTTCAACATTTTCTGAAATCCGAGACTCGGTGCACTCCAACCAACTGGCGTGCTGCAACAGTATGGACCCCAGTTCGTGAAATGTTGGCATAGAGGGCTCTTGCTGATTTGCTGGAACGCCTTCGCTTAGGGCGGGCACGAGGCTTGCTGGGGCCTTAGCCCACAACATGTACATCATGGCAAGGCCCCTACTTGAGGGCTCAATCCTCACATATGTAAATTTTCATGGCATTTGTCAGAGGCAAAAAAAAAAGAAAAATCGCCAAAGATGGCGGTATCAAAAAGGTGCTAGCCCACTCAATAATTTCATTCTCGTTTTATTTTTTCTAATTTTCATTCTTATTATTTATTCTTAGCATCTGATTTTTATTTCAAATTTGGTAAAGAATTTGGATGTAACGTTGAGGCAAATGTTGATTAGTTTATTCTTCTCCATAACATATATTGTTTTTTTATTTTTGGGATTTTTTTTTTTTTTTTTTTTTTTTGGGTCCACGTTCGGTCGAACGGCCGAACGCGTCGAGAGGGGGTGCGAACGGTCGGGCGTTCGTGTTCAAATGTTCGGCCTGTCCCGAATGCCGGCAACCCTGTATATATATATATTTCACTTATTCTTTGACCCAAGAAAAATATCCAAAAAATCGGGCCGCAAACTAGGCCTGGCGGCCGCGGCTGGTGGCCGACTTTTTCGGCCGCAGCGGCCAAATTGCCCACGGCCTAGGCCGCAGGTGTCACATAGGTGGGGGAGGGGTCGCCCCCCCCTCCCCACACGTGCACATACACACACACACAGACACAAGTCGAATGATCCCGCTGGGCCGCTCTTTTTTCGTTCTTACTTTTTGTTTTTTTTTATTAATTGATTGGTTGATAGATTGGTGGGGGAGGGGTAGCCCCACCTCCACGCGCACACACACACATTTGCTTTTGGAATTTCAAAAAAGAAGAAGAAGAAAGAAGGAAAGAATGAATGAATGAATGAATGAATGAGAGTGTATGGGTGTGCCTGAGTGCCTCAGTGTGCTTGTGTGTGTTTTTTACTACTGCAAAATTGCAAATGGTCCCAGACGGCACATGACACAAAGGGTATAGAGAAATTAGGGGTGGTGTTCATGGAAGTCCAGATCGGCGAAGGAGGGTGTAACAACACACCTGCCCAGTGTTGTTACCCCGTACGGGGACAGCTCGTCTGTACTCCCATATGACCGTACGTACGGGCCCTCAACGCCCGTACGGCCCATACGTACAGACTTCAGGCCCCCCGTACGTGGCCTTCCGAGGGGTTGTTGAGGGGGTGGATGAGCTGGGGAGGTGTTGGGTGTAGGGGGGTACCCCCCAGTGCTGTACCCCCGTTCACCATTCATGGAGTTCACGCAGTTCACAACATGAGAGTTCATGGAGTTCACGGAAAGCGGGATCGGGGATTTTTTTTTTATTTTATTTTTTGGCTGGGGGGTGGGTTTCTCTTTTTGTAGGAGGGTGGGGGTCATCGAAGGTTAACCCCCCATATTTTTATCAGATTTTTTTTCACGAATAATATTTTTGTTAATTAAAAACAAAACAAAAATAGCAATCAGCCAAAATAAACATTTTCGTTTGTTATTTTGTTCGTTATTTCGATTTATTTTTTTTTGTAGGTTATTTCGCGGTGCAATAATGCACCAACCTCAACGGGGTCCGTCTCTCACACACACACACACACACACACACA